GTGGGTTTTAGTGTATTGATGACATCCAAATTAGGGACTAATGTGATCTTAATGAGATATGTCGCAGCTATTAGTCCCATGAAAGATTCAAAGAGTTGATAAAGATGAAATGGTATCCCTCAATTCTTGAAGTTGTAAAGGCAGACAAACTCAAAGCGCTCTCCAAAGGTTTTATTTTTGTTTTTGAGTTTAGGATTCGCCGCACTATAAAGAGGGTTGCAGACTTAGTTGGTCTGAGGAAGATAGAGTGCTCAAGCATTAAAATAAAATCAAAAGAGAGATACTCTAGCACTCCACGAGCACGTAGAATATTTTTTGGTGACTGTTGGTGTCGAAAGTCCCGACGTAAGCCGAAACTCCCCACCGTCGGAAGTCACGACTTAGGCCGAAAGTCCTGACACCCAGTCACTTAGCTTGCGCAGTGACCGTAGCCATCGGAAGTCCCGACATAAGCCAGAACTCCCAATCCTTGGAAGTCACGACTCATGCTGGAAGTCCTAACGCCCAGTCACTTAGCCTACGCGGTGACCATGGGCGTCGAAAGTCCCGACGTGAGTTGGAACTCCTTATAGTCGGAAGTCCCAACCCAAGTCGAGAGTCCCGACACCTGGGGTTTTGCTGGCCGGCTGACTACACACGTCGGAAGTCCCGACATACGTCGGGAGTCCCGACGTATGTCGGGAGTCCCGACCGTCGGAAGTCCCGACCGTCGGAAGTCCCAACGTTTGTCGGGAGTTCCGACATTGACTTGCTTGTGTGGACTTCTGACCCTACATGAATAGTGTTTTCTGCTAAGGTCGGAGGTCCCGAGATCTGCGTCGGAACTTCCGACGTAGATCTAAATGGTTAGATTTCTACTATGAGTATAAATAGCCCTCTCTTCACTTCTAACCATTACGGACTCATTCACAGCTCACTAACCCTCGTGTTCAACAGTTCCCAAGCAACAAAGGTACCCCTCTCCTCCCTCCTTTGCTCCAATCTTCGATTCCCCTAGGGTCTTGAGTGAAAGGAGAGTGGATTAAGTGAGAGAATCACTTTGGTAAGCTTGAGCACTTGATTTCTTTGTCAAGCCGGTTGGATTTGTGTCTATTACTCTTAGGGCTTTGCCCCTAGCCAGCTAGCATTGCCCAAGAGTTTCCATCTTGTGGAAGAGCCTTGGAAAGTTTGTATTACCCTTGATTTCTTAGTGGAAAGCTCAAGTGACCTTTGTAGTTGCTTTGAGAGAGGCAAGGAGGTGAAAGAGACTCCGACCTTTGTGGTCACCTCAACAACAAGGATGTAGGAGCTCCTTTGTGGGGTTGCCGAACCTTGGGATAAATCTTTGTGTCCCATGTGCTTGTTGTTGTGTTTGCTTAAGATTACTTGTATTTGCTTGTCTTTCTCTCCCGAACTTCATTTTAGGGTTTGGACTCGATCTACGGTTTGGAGACATTTCGTCGTCAAGGGAGTGGCCCAACATCTTCACCAAATCACTAGGAAGTGGGGTTGTAAGATTATTTATCCGTAAAGATAAATTTGGCACTGCTTTTGTTGTTCACGTAGGCGTTGGGACTTCTGACGTTTGTGCCGGAACTTCTGATGACGTCGGGAGTTCCGACCCAAACTATCGGGACTTTCGACATTTACCGACAAATTTAAACTTAGCATTTACAGTTAATTTTTAGATACGCCTATTCACCCCCTCTCTAGGCATTGTTAGATCCTTTCACCACGGCAACAAACCCGCGCTCAATGTGCACACATCTTAACACTTTCACGATCACTTCGTGATCGCAAAAATGCTCGGGGGCTACTATCGGGGTCAAAACCCCAGGGTCTCTGAAGGCATCGATTAGGCAGTAGGCCACGCGGCCTGCAATACATCAGCTAGCGAAGGCACCAACGATTGAGGCCTAGCTGGGCTGAGCAAACTAGGCCGGACGCTAAGACCAGGGTTGGCCACAACCTCTTCCTCCTGTCTTAGCCGAACGGTGCTCGAGAGGCACACGACCTCACCCCTGTCACGACCCCTAGAAGGGACGGGGAGAGGTCGATCCCCGCCAAGTATGCCTATTCTGAGAAGGACAGTATCGCTGCACTAACCTCACAAGGGCCGAGGGAACAAGTCACCTTGGTCCGATCAGACACCAACCCTACACCACACAGCTCGGATAAGACAATACCGCCCCAGGGCGGTGACGACGGGCACAATGACCACCGGCTAGATACGGCCCGACAAGATGCATGTACAACCCTACCCACTACGGGATGAGATCCACGGCGAAGGCATTTACTTGAAGGCCATCTAGACCGGCGAGGAACCATGACCTTAGCGATCGAGATCGTGGCCCTCAGCTCCTCAAGACAACCAGGCGATCGATGACCTAGGGATGGCTACCAAATCTTGTACGACGCCCCAAAAAACCAGGAGACGATGACGAAGACCACGTCGCATAGGACGGTTGGCGCACCAACACCGTGCCTACAATGCCACCACGATCGGCGCAGAAGCATCATGCCACACCATGCCACGATGTGGCCATAATACGATGACGACAACCACGCCCGGGCGTACTCCACAAGACGGCGTAGCTTGCAAGCCAAGTTAGCTAGTCCCTCCCTTAGGCTCACGACTCTTCGGTCGGGAGAACCTCATCCTTTGTATGTACCCTGGCCCTGAACTCTATATAAGGGCAGCCAGTGCACCATTTCTAGATATTCTGAGTCCCTCTACTCATTCAATGACTCTCCATCGTAGCAGGGCTCCTAAAGCTTCCCTTCGGACTGTCTGTCTCCTAGCTTTAACTCTTCTTCCTCTTCTACAATTCTTGCACCCCATTGTAAGAACTTCAGAGCATTTAAGCGAGGAACACGCACTCGATCATCTCTGAGACTGGACGTAGGGCTCCGGCCTGAACCAGTATAAATTCTCATGTGTTTTAGATACTACCATCGTCTTTCTGGAGCAACGCGGCAATCGTATAAGTTTACTAGTCCGGTTTATAAAACACCGACACTTGTAATTTGAAACAGAGAGTAGTTCATTAGCCAACAACTGGCTTATAATTTGAAGCGGAGAGTAGTTCATTACTAAACATATATGCACCTTTTAGTCTAGGATCCAAATATGTATGGGGCTAATATTCATACGCTAATGCAAAATGGCCCTATATACCACCTATATACTTTAAGGCTTTAAATAGAGACTTCATATTAATTCTCATGAGACGCCTTAGAAAAAAGATAAAATCCTTAAAATTCTATTTAATTTCCTAATGGCGAATGTGAACATTTTTACAAGACGTCTAATTATCATCATCAAAATAGCCATGATTTATTTTTTAAAAAAATATTAAAAAAATACGAAAATGCATAAATTAACCTCTCAACTTGCATAAATATACACACCTATAAAAATAATTGAAATAATCCCTAAATTTGCATCTAAATTACACAATTGTTAAAGATAATACAAATCAATCATTGTGTTTGTTTTTAAAATTACCCATATTTTTCGTTCGTGAAAGATGATATAAAATATATAAATTCTGTTATTCAAAATAGCCATGATTTATTTTTTAAAAAAATATTAAAAAATACGAAAAATGCATAAATTAACCTCTCAACTTGCATAAATATACACACCTGTAAAAATAATTGAAATAATCCCTAAATTTGCATCTAAATTACATGATTGTTAAAGATAATACAAATCAATCATTGTGTTTGTTTTTAAAATTACCCATATTTTTCGTTCGTGAAAGATGATATAAAATATATAAATTCTGTTATTTACTATCGTAAAAAATAACTTGAAATATCCCTCAAATCTAAATCTAACTACCAACATAAGGTACATAAAATCTAAACTATTCCTCATAGGCTAGATGCAGTAGAATAAAAAGTTAGGTAGTGGTGGGAATTGCTCAGTGGAGCCCCCACGGTCTGGGTTCGAGCGGGGTTTTCCCCATTTTCTTTGCAGCCTGAAGCACGGATATTCCACAATGTTCAAGGTGCCATGCCCGTCACGCGTGGAGTATGATGATCTTCAATCACCTCTCAACCACGTGTGTGTGTGTCTTTAGGTATAGAAGTTGTAGGCTTAGCTTGTGTTCAACATGTGTGCGTGCGTGAGTGTGGCGTGCGGTGTGAATTTGTATGTAAGTTTAGATACTACAACTTGTACTTAAAGTATGGAGGCATTAAAAAAATTATTGTGGTCAAAACTTGGTTGTTTTAATTCCCTATCAAAACTTGAACCATGCATTTATGTACTAATTGTCCACGCTTCATTAACACTCAAGTAATAGTGAGGACTGGCTACAAATAGAATATTACAAAAATCACATTCAATTTTTTAATAGCAAAGCGCCTATTTTTTAAATAAAGGAATAAATATCTGATTTCATACCTTATGACCAAGAGAATCAAACTACTTATTATATTAAATTTAAATAAAAATAAAGGTGTCTAGACTCAAAACTTAATTTAAACATTAAATCGGCTATAAAAAGAATTGCATAGTGGTTGTTACAATTTTTAGAAACCGTCTCCCCCCAACCATATATCTTCTGAGTGTAATTTGAGAACCAGCGCCCAGTTCAACATTTTTCTAATTTTCTGAATTAGTACTTCACCTCATAAATTCATTCAAAATGAGAATCACCAACCCTTATTACGAACCAATTATTAAAACACACATATAATCTACTACTCCCTCTTTATTCTTTTTTCTTTTTAGGGCTCATCGTCAATAGCCAAAAATCCGTGTAATGGATACTCCCAGCTAGTGGCCGCCAATCGAAATCCTTTCAGTAACAACTTAAATCCGTGCTTATCGTCCCCCTCAAGTCTGGCGTAGCCGACTGAGACGAGTTTTGGAGGCGCAAAAAGCAAAAACTCCAACCCGCCCCGTCGCCGCGGAGCATCAGAATAAAGCCGAGAAGCCATCCAAACCGTTCTCTCTTTCTCCTCTCCGCTTCCTCCTCAACCCCTCCCCAAGTATACGAGACACGCCCATGGCCTCCCGGGTCACGAGGCTGCTCCTGCACCGCCGCCTCGCCACCGCAGCGGAGGCCTCCGCTCGCCGCGCGCCGCAGGCTCCCTGCGCCGGCGCCGCTGTCTCCAAGGTAATCCAGCAGCAGCGATGGAGGAAACCCTAAACCCCTCTAAACCTCCCCTTAGGGTGTTCGACAGAATGCCCGTGCCGATCTCTGCGTTGCCTCTTCCGGCGTTGCTGCCTGTGGTGTCTGGTTAGGTTCCTGAAGGGACTGAACTGGTGCTCTGTGCTAGATTCAACTGAAGCAACAATTGTTGTGCAGGGTGGTGCTTACTAGCTACTAGTGCTAGGGAGTATTGAACTTCTATTATCCCGTAATGCCAGCCTTTTCTGCTAGTCATGTCATAAGCAATGCATGTGCTGGTGCTCTATCTGTATGAAACACAATGCAATCGTGTTTCTGATCTGTGATTGCATAGATTCTTTTTGGGCTTTCGGAAGTTCTTCACATTGTAATTTCCTTATAGTATTTTTCTTCTTATTTGAAAATATATACTTGGAAGTCTGTTTTTCCTTAACGCTTCCCTGTCTCTTAACTGCAGGATGTTGCTAAGGCTGAAGGTCAACTCCCACCTCTGAATTAAGGCTCTGTGTTTGATTGGCCAAGTTGCTGCTATTAAATATTTTGTTTTGTTATTATTCCTGTTATTGTTGCATTGGTGAAACTGGGCTTGTTTTGCAGTGCTGGTTGGATACTGCATAACAATTTAAACATTATGTATGCTTATCTAGTTTTTAGTTTAGCTGCTTTAAGTATATGTTGACATTGCAAATCAGAGTAAAGTTAAGTATATATTGACATTGCAAATCAGAGTAAAGTGTTCGGTGGCTTCCATATGAGCACCTAGGTCAACTTAGCATCTTTTAGCCTGTATAATCAGGATAAAGCTGGCAAATCTGTACCTGTTGTCATAATATTCATGAACTATTTCCCACTCTTACCACAACAGATACTTCAAAGCCCTTCTGTACTGCCATACTGATTTAGTAAACCTTCCATGATAATGTACTACCATTGCAACACTGCATCTATGATGTGATACTTTGCATACATTGGATGCATTTGAATGAACTTGCCAAAGGTAAAACAAATCTCTACGTTGAATTATCCAGAACTGGAGAGTCGAAAGGTGTTGATAAAACCTTTCAGTAGTGAACTAGTGATAATTTGAATACATGATTATGATAATTCTGTGTGTAACCCTCCTCATTATGATCCAGTCGATGCAAACTGCTCAGTTTTTTCAATTCATAAAATTGATTCCAATCTGTCTTTAAGGTTGTTCTACTTGTGTTCCATGTTATGAGCATGCATGGCCATGATTACAAAGAATGGTTTCTCAGCTATCTAGTCTAATCATAATTTCATTGATTTCCAAGCACTCGAAAACTATCCAACTTTTGTGTGCATTTTTGCCCAATCTGGACCGATATTCTTGCGCACTACTTTTTCCACGTTAGGATTTGTTAATCTTGACATAGTTTTCTTTGGGAAAACATCCAGCTTCGTCTTTGAAAAATTCAAGGTGGTACGTGACTAGGTCAAACACTTCAGGTCCTTTGACTACTCGTTATGAGTGCCGCAAAGTATTTCCTTGTTCTGTAAGGCCATGTGCATCTTACTCTACACAAGCTTCAGACCAGAAGGCAAAACAGGTTTGTATTTCAGTTCTGCTTGCTGATTTAAATTGTTCAATGTAATGCGTTTATATACTCTCTCCGTCCCAAAATGGATCAACTTCTAGAATTGTCCTAACTCCTAAGTTGAACTTTCTTAAGATTGACTGAATTCATAGAAAAGAACACCAATATTTATGATGCCAAATTAGTATTATTAGATGCAAAATGAAATATATTTTCATAGTGTACTTATTTGGCATCATAAATGTTGGTATTGTTTTCTATAAAGTTAGTCAAACTTAAATAGTTTGACTTAGTACAATTCTACAAGTTGATTTATTTTGGGACGGATGGAGTATCTTCCTACTTGTCTCTGATCCTTTGCTGCATAAATTTGAATTAATATTATCCATCTTGTGATATGCTGCTATGGTGGTTGTAAAGCAGTATATAAGCTTTTAGTTATTGTGTTACCTTGTTGACTGGGATTGGACCAAAATTCAAATCCTAACAAAGGAATCCAATTAGAATCCTACTACAGAAAGTCCACCATCCAGTCCAAACATATCTCAAAGTGCTTAGAGTCTAATCCAATCCATGCCCCTCAAGTTAGAATCCATCCATCATGATCCAACCATCACAGCAAGGCGTCTTCCTCTTTCCCTTCCCCTTCCCCATCACAGGCAACTTGAAAACCAAGCCAAGCTGACTCTCTCATCTCATCTGTCATGTCAGATCTCCAGCCAGATCTCTCCGCAAAACTACTCGCCGTGAAACACCAATGTTAGCCTCCTTTCATCAGGCATCCGACACTCCACATGATCCTCACTGCAGGACTCCAAGCCATGGCCATCTTGAGATTCACAGCATGGTCCTGGCCCGGAGCTGTTGGTGTCTGCATTAACCTCTACGTGACTAATGCCTATGCTGTCTAGCTACTGCTTGTTGCAGTCTGCTACGTTACTGCTTTTGTGCTCTACCTCAAGGCCAATCACTACAGCATCACCGTCACCCTGCATATGCCTTTGCTTTGTGCTTGGCATGTCACCCACTCCACTCCAATGACCTATTCAATGGAACGCCGTGCCAGGCCATGCTGTGGTCGTAGAGACAAGTGAAGTACTGAAGTGACCATTCTCTCGTCTCATCTCTGATGTTAGTGGTCTATGGAGGTCACTTGATGGCTCGGATGAGAAGTCTAGTCCGCCTCTCTCATCCACCCTTCCTTTCTCTATTCTCTCCCCGCATAGCATTTGAAGAGAGGGTTACCACCACTGTAAAACCAAGTCCAGCTAGATCCAATGGACATTGGACTTTTTGTGTTGCAACCCAATGGATATTGTGCTTTTATTTTATCACATGGTGTTGGATATCCAAGTCCAAACAGATCATGTTCATGTACATCCAAAGCAGGCAGGGTTAAATTGGACTTTGGATTTCCCAAATCCAATCCCACATTTACTTGTGATCATGCACCATCTGAATTACTGAACACCTGTGGATTATACATAAATTAGCTTGAACGTGCTTTCTACATTGGATTACTATGCCTAAAACCTTGAATGGCAACAGCTTGACCGCATATACCGGCTTATTTATATGCATTAGCCCCTGTAATGTGGTTTTGGACAACCAAAATTTCATAAAAAATGATTATTAAGAGCTATTCCAAATTTGTGATCCTGCATATGTTGAAAGGTTTCTGTTTCACCAGTTACATTACTGCAGATGTAGAGGTAGTTGCTAGACACTGTTTTGTAATGGTCTGCTTCAAAGATTTTGTCTTATGGATCCATAATCTCAGTGGTCCTATATGAGGAAACCCAATTATGCTAATCATTTAGCCAAAGCCAGCAGCACTTGTAGTGTTGCAGTTACAGTGCTATTTTCTGCAAGGCATCTCTGTCATATGTGAGAAAGCGTTCTGATGGAAAACACTCAAAGTTTCAGCGTGTGTTTACTGTGTTCCAGTTTTCCATTCACAGCATTCTGCTGGAGAAGACTTTTTATTGTTATACTGCTTGACAGTTTTAATCACCTAAGACACCAACAGTCAGATATTTGGGGTCTCTTAGTCATTTAGTTCTTGATAGAACTTGTATACCGTAGCTAACTGATATTACTGGTTTCATTAGTCAAACAAATGTTTGTTAATTATATTGCAAGCAGAATACGTCGTATAGCTATAATGCTGTTGCACATTTTTATGGTTTTTTTGTTACTTGTAAGGAACTGTCCTCTTTGTTCGCAGGAAGGGAAAGACTTGTCAGCTGTAGAACATCCCTTTGATGATATTACCTACAATATACCTGAGAAGCCAGTGACATTTACTGAAGGTGCTTCTTATAGTCTTGTAATTCTTGCTGGACTCGGAATTGCAGGGGTGGCTGGATATGCTGTGTTCAAAGAGCTTATATTTGAGCCAAAAGAGTAAGTCCCTTGCATTTGTTATTTGGCTTCTGTTTGAATTTTGCAGAATGATAAGTGATACAACTATGACTAATTGTATTTTGATATTACAAATGTGTTAATAAATAAATAGTAATTATTACCATATTCTTTTAAGTTCTACAAAATTTCCTTGTCAAAATTTCACAGTGGTTATTTAATGATATATGATACACATCTCCTGTGTATTTGAGAAAAAAAGCATTTCGTAGTGGTCATTCTTCAGATCGTAACACTAATCCCATCTTTATGTGCACTGTACAAATTAACAGTCAATATGATGTGTAATATGGAACTTCTTTTTGCCCTTTTTACTAGTTTATATATACATCTTCTTAATCTGGATGCATCATTGTCTATCTAAGGCACATGTGTCTATGCTTTTCATTTCCTTGGTTCATAGATTGGCATTTTGTGAAGGGCGGGCCTGGTGCAAGCGGTAGAGTCTTACCGCCTGTGACCAGAAGGTCCCGGGTTCGAGTCGCGGTCTCCTCGCATTACACAGGCGAGGGTAAGGCTTGCCACTGACACCCTTCCCCAGACCCCGCACAGAGCGGGAGCTCTCTGCACTGGGTACGCCCCTTTATAGATTGGCATTTTGTGCAGTATAGGAATAGGAAGCTTTATTATCTGCAACTTTGTGTCACTTATAGGTTAGTGTGCTACCTGATATGAACAAACTTTTACTATATTGAAAAATGAAGATGAAACCAAATACCATAGATCTTTCTGTTTTTGTTCCGTTGTCACAAGCCCCATTCTGGTGCATACTGCGTTTTAATCCTATAACCTGTAAGAGTGTTGATTCACTACCGAAAGTACTATGCATTGCATTATGTTAAAGGCGAACAACAACAACAAAACCCTTTACTCCAAGCAAGTTGGGGGTAGGCTAAAGTTGAAACCCAACATAATAATTTGGTGTTTGGTGCTTTTGTCTGGCATATTGATTGCCCGTATGCCTGTTTTATAAATAAATATATAATTTTGAAGCTGAAGGGAGATTAGCTAATGCTTGTGCATTGTATAACCACCCAACAGGTACAAGATATTTGGGAAAGCTCTAGCAAGAATTCAGAGTGATAGCCAGGTTTTTGTTGATCATGTTATTGTCCTGTAGATAGTTGTACTTTCCCTCTCTTACTAGTTTTATATATTTTGTCAGGTCACGTCAAGGATTGGCCACCCTATTACTGGATATGGCCAGGAAACTAGAAATCGTGCAGCTCGGCAAAGAATTCCAAATAAGATTTGGACAGATGAGGACGGTGTTGAACATGTGGAGGTAGAACGCATTCTTGTCTCTTTTGTTGTGTCTTCTTCCATTCTTCTGTTTTCTTGCACCTCAGGTCTACTGTAGCCTAGTCAATAAGAAAGTGGCAACTTTACCTGTTACAGTTATGCTCTCCTTCTGCAACACTTGTTGGGAAACTGCTCTCTGAGAGTTCATTAGTCCCTTAGCAGCATGGGAAGAGCTTAATTGTGAATCATAACATAAGGGGAGGTACTAAGATGAGAATTATTTGCCTTCATTGCTAATATCAATCCTGAGAGCAGTATCAACACCAGAGAAGATCCTGTTTACATTTTTTGTTGTGCTCGTAGATATTGTTTTTGCTAAATTGGAAAGGAGGCACTAAGGTTGCATTGATGTTAAGTCATATTGTTCATATAGCTATTTTACGCTGCTCACATGCATTTTTTCAGGTGAACTTTCTCATCCGTGGGCCACATGGAGCTGGAAAAGTGTATTCAGAGATGTTCAAAGATAATTCTGATCGGACATGGAAGTTCACATACCTCGTTGTTGATATCGTGTCACCACCACATGCAAAAACACAACTGATGTTAGAATCTTACTTACCAGCATAAGAATGCAAGAAACAAAAGCAGTTAGCAGTGCCATAGCATCTCCAAGGTTCATCTCCCACATATATATTATATCTATTTTACTTCACATTTGTACCATCCTTGATGTTTACTTTATTTTGTGTTTTGTATTGTCATTTGGTCATTAAAGTTTTGAATTTTGATCTTTCTTGAAATAATAGACATCAAACAGTAGGATGAAATATGCTTCTAGTGATTTCTGGAACTAGTAATGCTACACCTACAAAAAGTTGTACAGAAGATCTACCTAGCATGCTAACTTGAACAGCAGCAAGCCAGCAACCTCAAAGTTACCGGTGTGGTTACATGAAATCTTTTGATTGCTAATTTCAAATTAGCAAGTAAGGTTGTTATCATCCATGCTTATTCGTAATACAATTTTTTTGTACACTTTTTTATAGGTTTAGTGGTACTCTCCCCATACTAGAGATGTTACCTACCTTGTTTAGCTGAAGGCCATATCAGTCCATGCATTGAAGCATTTTTCTTTATAGTAGTTTGTTCAAATCCTCACATATGGATATGTCAGTCCAATTTCCTTTAAATATTTGTCAGTTTGTATGGATATGGATATTTGTTCAGTAGTCTGATGATAGGAGTAAGTCTGTTTGCATTCTATAAAGGATTTTCTTCTGAATGTCAGTAGTTTGTATTTTGATTAGCTTTGAATGTTCCTACATTTTTTTTAAGCCACAAGTTTGTTGCTTTTGAACCTTGCTACATTTCTTTCAAGTCGAAAGTTCCTAGCCATACATGTGAAGTTGAGTTAATTACATTGGTGGTCTTGAAAATTGTATGCAGTACCATCTAGGTCCATAAACTCTTAAAATGCACGTGTGGATCCCAACTTGTCGAGTGTGCCATTGGAGGTCCAAATCACCCTAATAAGTGAGCAATCATGTATGTGGTACACTAAGTGGAGCTGGGGCTGTTTAGCAGCGCTCCTTGGAGCAGCTTTTTTTTTTTGTGAGAATCACTTCTCCATTTAGCTAGGAGCTAAAAAACCTGCTCATCATTACTCTATTCAAACCCCACCAAAACACTCCAGAATCACTTCCCACCTGTTCCTTACCCTTCTCACCCACCACAATCACTCCATTAGAGAATCAGGGAGTGGAACTCTACCAAACAGTGGCGAACCTTGAGCAAATTAGTGGGTGTGCACATGTCTTGTGAGTGCATGGACATGTCTCATGGGGGGTGCATATATGGTGAAATTTCAATTAAACTTTTTTTTGGGGGGTGGGGGTGCATTTGCACCCCCAAGCCACAAACTACCTTTGCTCTTGCTACCAAACATGACACCATCATGTCCTCAGCTTCCCATGCTCTACTACGTGCTTAGGATCATGTCCATTCATGCCATGTTGCCATACCACATAGTCAACTTTATGCTAATTAGGGAACTCTGGACCTCAAGTGGCACACTTAGCAAGTTTTGGGCCTAGATGAACCACATGGAAAGTTTAAGGACTGCCGGTGCACTTCAACTCCGTGAGGTTCTAGTTGACTTCTGATGATTGTTGTTTTTACCATTATTTACATACAACCATTAGATTTATTGTCAATCTTTACTTGATTTTTGTTTGTTTGTTTAGATTTTGGCACAAATGGGAAGATCCGATAGAAGTGGCTAAACTGGGGATTTATAAACTAAGTCTATGCAAGATTGGGAAATTTAGGAACAGGATTTTCATAATGTACTGCCATCAAACCAGTTTTGTGGAGTAATAAACGGTTCTTACATTGCTAGAAGGCGAAGTGGTTTCAGACAGTTCATGTCTGGAAATGTTTCAATGTTTCTTTTAGTAATGGGGAAAAGCCCTGAATGCCTGGATGAGGGTATTTTTTATTAGTTCTCATGAGTACCTTGTATCATCCAAATACGTTTCCTAATCCAGTAAGTCATCTTTGTAAAATCATAGCAACTCTTATTGTAACTGGATTTGGTTTTGAATTAATTCATTTTGAAATGCTCGTCTTAAGGGCTAATCTTGGCTGTTAGGAACATCTCTCTTTCTGGAGAACAGTTTCTTTAACTGCCCTACCATTGGCCTCTAATGTGCTGTTGTAACTTTACTGAGCAAAAGGTACCCTACCCCAGGGAGACTTTCTGGATGCCCGTCAACCTTTGGATGATCACATCTATCGTTCTGCCCCAACGATCAGTCCACTTTTTTACCAGGTTGATACTCCGTCCTAAATTTCTTAAATTATATAGGTCGTTTTGATGTTTCTGGATATCTAGTAATCCCTCCATCGTTGAATAAATCAACTTGAGTTGTCCTAAGTCAAGCTTTGAGTTTGATTAATTTTAAATAAGAGTACTACGATCTAAGACCCCAAAAGGTATAGTATGAAAATGTATTTTATGCTGTATCTAACTATACTAATTTTATGTCAAATATTAGTCCTTTTCGAATTTGGTTAAACTTAAAAATAATTGAATTAGGATAACTCGTTGATTTATTCTCGGCGGAGGGATGTCTAGATATAGGACCTAAAATTCACACTTTCTGTTTCTTTTATCTCATCAATCATCCACTGTGAACACGAATCCATCTGCAGATTCTCCCTTCAGACTTTTTATTGAGGATCCATAGGCTCAGTCATTTCACCCTTTTCAGCGTGCATGGTCCGGCTACTGTTCTATGGCTGCACACATTTTTTAAGACACGTTCCACGAGTCATCAACCGGAAACTATTCTATGGCTGCACACATTCCACAAGTCATCAACCAAGTGAAATATCCTTCCATCCATCCTCCCTTGTCTCCATATCCCTATTCCCTCCTACCGATCAACGCCTTTCGCTGTCACGCCTCTACGTATCTGCTCCGTGCTCCTCCAGCCTTTCCTTTGCCGACTTCGTCTGCGACATCAGCTTGCCTGATTGGAGCAAAGCTATAACTATTATGAGTAGGCTTACCTGCTTCCACAACAGATTGGTCGAGTGGTGGATGTATCTTTCAGTGCTCAATTCTTTGCCTACTCGTTGCCTGCGGCCGTGTCGTGTCGTCAGTTCCCGGCTTCGCTTTGCTCCAAACATTTCATTTCAAATCCGTGACCTGGAGAAAGGATTGCTATCTTGGGAATGCCCGTTTGTTTTAAGTTTAGTATATACAGGACCTGTTAGCATAATAAATGGTCAACTTTTTTTAAGAGTTAATAGCGACTCAAACCCGGGACCTTCCGGTCACAGGCGACGAGACTCTACCGCTTGCACCAGGCCCGCCCTTTTAATAGGGCCAAGCCCCTGTCTTACACTATCAAGATCAGAACGTTATTATAGCATTCGGATGGGTTACATCCATCAATCCCGTTTAAAGCAAACTGGAAATAGCAATGAAGGAGCCAGAACCAAAACCACTTAAATCTCACAAGATAAACCTAGCTTAGTTATATCACGCCATTTGCCAGAGAGTCAAGTCCCTACCAAAAACGAGCTTCCTAACGGCAGAGCCTTGGCTTCATGCGGTAAAGTATTGGACCTCCAGTTTATTGCATTCATGTACAAACACTTGCTCTTGTATATCATCACATGATTCTCATAGGTCGTTGCTAGCTTCGTCAAATCCAAAAGCCTGGAGTTGAACTCCTGAACTGGCTTGGTGGACATAGGATCGACCAACTTTGGATCATAGCAGCAACCTTCAGCAAGAGGGATTTCATATCCTTCCAAGAAGCCTCGTGGAAGCATAAACTATTTCTCAGTTCCCAGAGGCTCCATAGGGCAGCAGCAGAAAAAACATTGCAAACTAGTATGAACTTCATTTTACTTCAGTTCCACGGGTTCTATAAAAAAAAAGAGTTAAGTTCCACAGGTGTCTAGCTACAACACAATCGGAAAACAAATGATGAACCGGCTCCTTTTCACAACAAAACAAACCAGACACGTCCTCTACTTTTCTTCTTATACTTAAATTATCTCTAGTTAAAAGATTATTTTCAGAGAATAACCACAGGAAAAAAAATAGATTCTACGAGGTACTTTCTCTTTCCAAAGAGCAGGAACGTGTAAAGGAGTCATCCCCTAAATTTATGATTCTATACTGATATTGAGAAGAATACAAACTGCTAGAACTAAATTGCCAAATAAGGGCATCTTCCTCTTGAGGAAAACATATAGTTCAAGCTAACTAGGCGACCTCTAGGCTCTAACCATAAATTCATAAGCCTAGCATCTATCTTCTAAAAGTGCATTTGAGGTTGGTGCCATTACACGACTCTGAGCTTTCTCATTAACTAGGATGTAAACATCCCAATATTGAATGGCTAGGATGGAAGGACCAAGCCAGTTATCCTCCTAGAATTTAACCTTATGACCGTTACCAATTTTCCATCTGTGACCTAGTTTAGCTGCAGAAGCAGCCCAGATCATACCCTTAAAGAATTGAGAGGCACCAGTAGTGAAACTATAGAAAATGTTACGACGACATGTATTTATACTTATAATCAACTAGCTCTTTCCAAAGTTCAGAGCCATCCAGATGGTACCTTTTAATCCAGGATCCTAGTAAGCATATATTCAAATCTCTCAAATTTGGAATACATAAGGCCCCCATACACTTTTAGCATATTTATTACACATTCCCAATTAGCTAAATGATACCAATGATTACCTGTATCACCCCAAAGGCAATTACCTAAGTCAGAGTGGATTAACTGGATAGCCAAAGATCAACCTTATTCGGTGCTCGAACCAAAACGATAAGATCCCGTTCGTCCAATCATACAATTTACAATCTGATTTACTGGTCAACAGTCGACACACCAGAGGGAGCGACTCCATATATACCCTCTGAATCACTCCAAATTCCCAGTTTTGCTTGTATTTCACTGTCGAAGCCGGTGTTTTCTGATACCACCTCTTTGACCTGTGAAGGGTGTACGTATCTTGGAAATGGACGTGTTGATGTGCGCGACTAACTTGAATAAGTGCCTGTTACTGATATATGATGCGAGCAGACTTGGACCACCAACAAGTCGTGAACTAGAAGCAGCTGATGCTTGATTCCGAAATATTTTTGGTTTAGTGGTCCGATGTACGTGAGTTGTTTCAGTCATTTTCAAAGAGACAAGGTCCAATTTTTTGACTTGGCACAGACCGTACCACTGCCCCTACCATTCAAATTTACACAGCCTGTTCGTTTGGCTGGGCTTGCTCGTAAATTTTCAGCCGAAACAATATTTTTCTCTCACACCAAATCAGGCAGCAGTACTTCTTCATGAACCAGCAACGATCCAGCTCAGCCAAACGAACAGGCTGACAGTTGCTTCAAATTTGCTGAAATCATCTTGTTCGTGCAATGGAGTGGGAGTTATGTCCTGCAGAATGTCTGGATAAATATCTCTCGATATCCACTACAGCTGCCATGGATTTCGTCATTTAGAAAAGAAAAAAAACAACTGCCATGGAATTGCAGCCCCCGATTTCCAGCGAATCTCATGTGGCACATCCGCACATGTTTGACAAGAAGACGAACAGGAAGATGACAGAACAAAACAGCAAAGCTCGTTCATGGCAACAATAAACAAGTGACGTTACCTCACCAGATGATGCATGCCCCCGTATCCATTTGACATGTATATGACATATCAAATGTGGCAGTTGGATCATCTATGTAAGCGATGAGAATATCATAAGAACCCCCCTCCCCACCCCAAAGAAGATCCAGAGCCGCTTGGATTATAAAAAGATCAGAGGGCGCGTTGTGCTGCAGAAACATCCGGTCACCATCTCAGAGACAGACATACGGTGCACAAGCATCAGACTGGCTTTGCGCCAACTACCAGAATAATTTGCCGGGTATAATTTGCTCCAGGATCCTCAATTCCTCATGCCGAATAAAAGATCGAGTATCCTGTTTGTTGCATTGGAATCCAAATGATAGCACCATCATGCCTCCGCCAGTCTAAACCGTTTTGGAACTGAAGAACTACAGGTTACATACATAAATGCAAGACTAGCTTATCAGCTAGTAGATGCTAATCATGCAGGTCAGGTCTAATCATGCACTGGTGAACAAAGTGCTGAATTGGCCATTTGGTCTCTATATCCTCACCAAACCCCAACAAACCTCTCTGAGAAAATGCAACCCCCAACAAACTTTAACTAACGCCTAGGTACATGTAAACTACTGCTCTCCCTCCTCTGTTTGTTTTCCTTGCTGGCGTACCAATGCATGATACAAAGAAACAAAGTCAAACAAATACCTCAGCTTCCATCCCCTCCTCAACCCAACCACCATGACAGCAAACCATGAACTCCATATGCCCAAAAACCCCTACCCCCCACACACACACACACAATCATTGCCAATGCCATCAGTCATCCAAGGCACATCTTTCCTGGGTACCTTTGCTTTGATTAGTACACAATGTTTGAAAACTTCACGTTAAAGGGCATGCTTGGCAAGTTCCTTCAATGTTGCCAGTTAAACCTTCCCTATCCGGTTCCAAACTTTGCAACCCCCTCCCTCCTGCTACAAGCAACAGCAGCAGCACACCAGCCTCCAAGAAGAGGAACAAGGAGGAGGAAGGTGAGGAGTTGCCTCCGAAAGCAAGCCATCACTGGCTACCAAATGCAGGCATGCATATAGCGAACAGGACAAGAAGAAGCAGAAGCAGAGGAGGAAGAAGAACAAGTAGGAGCAGAGCTGAAGGACACCAAGAAATCGGTTGCGCGCTGCCACCATGTCCTATGATCAGATGCTCTCGCCGCTTTTCAGTGCCGGGCGATCGGCGTGGAGAGCGGCTCAGCACGGCGGCGGCGGCGGCGGCGACGCAGTGACGAGGCAGATACTCAAGTGCACGAGGTGGCAGCTCGAGGAGACCACCGACTTCGTCACCTGCCCCTACCACTACTACTGCGACAGCTCCTACCCGGGGGACTACTCCGCCGCCGTCGGCGTGCTCGTCGCGGCCTTCGCCGCGTACTGCTTCCTCTCTACTCTCGCGTTCACCGTCCTCGACCTCGTCCGGGGCAACGGTAGTAGCGCGCCGGCGGCCGGCGTCAGGGGCATCAAGAGGAAGTACCTGCTCCCCTCAGGCCCGTTCCTGCTCCCCCTGGTGCTGCTCGCGCTCGCCAGGGGGCAGCGGGTCAACGCCGTGTTCCCGCTCGCGCAGCTCGGCCCGGCATTGCTCCTGCTGCTCCAGGCCTCGGCGCTGGCGTTCCGGAACGAGGCCGACGGCGACATCCGGTACGCGGTGCTGGAGGCGTCCACGGTGTCCGGCGTGCTGCACGCCAGCCTGTACCTGGACGCCGTCGTGCTGCCGTACTACACGGGGCTGGAGGCGCTCCGGTGGTCCCGCTTCTCCGGGGAGTGCGCGTCGTGCCTGTGCCGGATGGAGCCCCTGGTCGTGGGCGGCACGGCGGTGCAGTACCGGGGCCTGTCCAAGACGGCGCTGGCGATCATCTTCGCGCTGTGCTCGCGGATGGTGTGCCGCATCTACGGCGAGGAGCGGCTCAGCGCGTGGACGCGGTCCGCCCTGGAAGCCGTGGGCTGGGTGTTCGTGGCCGCCGATGCGGTGTACCTCGTCGGTTGGGTCGCCGCGGAGGGCGGCGGCGTCGGTGTGGCGGCCTACAGCCTGGTCGCCGGGCTGGTGTTCCTGAGCGTCTTCGGCAAGGTGTACCGGTTCTTGGCGTGGGTGGAGGCGAGGCAATCGCAGTGGAAATCCAGCCTCTGCCATAGCACCGTTTGATTGATGATGATACTCGTCAGAGCTAATTCTCGCAGAAAATGTGTAAAAAGAAAAGAAAGGAATCGTTGCTTAGTTCATCTTCTTCTTGCTGTACAATCTACAGTTCTACACGATGGTAAAAAAGGTGCGAAATCTTTTTGTTCATGTTACTTAGCTTATTTTGACGAAAAGCCATTCAGATTTTTGTTGATGAAGCTTCAGAGCTTGTTCCTTGCCCTTTTCTTTCGGCGTTTGAAATATGATTTTGATGACTCGTTCCTAATCCCGCTGACCAGAGTGCACATTCTGATCCTGAATCAGACAACTGTACTATAGTTACCTCGAGTTTCTTAATTCTCATGATTATATCAAGCTATGCACTATGCAATAGTTTCAGCGATTGGTAGCTGGAGATGGTTGGTATCAAAGTTAGGAAAAGTGGATGGGACAAGCCAGCGGCAATAATGTGGTGGTTCAGGATTAATTCTCGCAGAAAATCTGTGAAAAGAAAGAAAGAAAGAAAGAAATTGTTGCTTAGTTCTTCTTTTTCTAGCTGTGCAATCTACACATAATGGTGAAAAGGTGCAGTTTTTTTTTTGTCAATGTTTAACTAGCCCAATTTTTCTGAAGCCATTCAGATTTTTTTTCCTGATGAAACTTAATTCAGAGCATCTTCTTTACCGTTTTCTTTTGAAAATTTTAACATGTTTTTAATGGCACCTTCCTAATCCTGCCGACGACAATGTACACGTTGTGATGTTCGGCTTTAAATCAGACAACCGTACCATAGTTAGTTTGAGTTTCTTAATTACCATGGTTGTACGGAGCCACGGTAGGAGAATCTGCTGTTGGTAGCTGGAGATTGTTGGTATCGGAATTCAGAAAAAGTGAATGGGACAAACCAGCAGCAGGAATGTGGTGGTTCAGGACGTGTTAGGATTAAGCAATGACCTACGCCCGGTTCGTTTGGGCTTTGTCTTAGAAGCCATACTTTTTCAGCCAACGAACTATATTTTTTTCTCACACCAAATCAGCCATCAGTATTTTTAGCCATGACTTATCAGTAAACAAGCTTAAACGAACATGACGCTAATCCCTGCCGGCTCCATGAAGCCAGTTCTTGGAGCTTCCTCTCTGACAGTTTCTCTGTTCTGGCATTCTATGTCTCGGTCAGTTTGTGGAGCAGCGATTGGAGCATTCACCTGGCATCTCATCCGATGAGTATATAGGACCACGGAATACGGACTGCACCTCTGCGTTCTCACTGCAGCCACTCTTTGCTTTCTCTGAAGATATGGAAGCGAAGTAGCAGCATAAGCATGTTTTTTTTTTTTGAAAGAGCAGCATCAGCATGTGTGAAAATTCATCCGATTAGTTTAGAAACTCGGCTTGCTGAAACTTGGCTGAAATTGGCTGAAAACACTGTTCTGGCTGAAATGTTGTGAGAGAAAAACACTGTTCCGGCTGAAAAAAGAAGCCGAACAAGTCAGATATGAGGTAAGCCGAACGGTGCCATAATAATATATGTACTAGGCACATTGATATTGTCATTTATTTATTTATTTTTTCAGAAGCAAAACTGTTTGACTTGGCTTGGGCATGAGCATGAGCATAGCATGATATCTGACCAGGCTTCTTTGTTGACTAGTAGATTTTCTCTCATTCCTCGTGCAAATCTGCAACGTCTGAAGGAAAAAGTCAGTCGCAAAAACCTAGCCTTTCCCCTCCTTCAGAAATCAGACTCCAGTCCTTCTTGCCAAGAGAGCCTCGAATGATTAGGTGGTCTGCTGGCGAGGCCGGCAGCAAAACTGGAAGGGGTCATCGTCAGAGTTGTTGCACAAATCATCGAGCCCGGCCTTCGTGCAGCCGAAGCAAGCTTGGGTACAGTACTGGATACTGAATAGCAGCATTTCGTCACTTTCAGATCAGGTTCAAGCGTGTAGGACGGCTCATGTGTGCTACATCCTTGTCTGCCTGCCAACACTCGCTGGATTTCATCAGCTAGCGGTAGCGCCATGTGCATCTAAAGTGATGTGTGTTTTAGTGTAACTCAAGGCGCCTAATCCTCACTGTCAATCAAAGGAGAAAAAGGAAAAAAAAGATTCCATGGTTTTGCATGTGTCCAAAGGGGGTTTTCGGTGATTGGTTTTAATCACACGAAAAGGGCTCCATTGATGGTGAGTGAGGTGTGACAATTTGATAGTACTGTTTCGGTTGCTGGTGCAGTGTCCTTTCCATGAACTTTGATGGTTTATGAACTAGGGACTCTACGCTCATTCTATCAAGATCTCGTGGTGCGGGTTCAGATGCGATGTACAGTACAGAAAATAATGATCGATAGTTTCTCATGGCTACGAGCATTTTTACGGAGTTGCGATGAAGCTAGACAGTACTCCACTCAGGTTTTTACGGTGTGGTGCCACAGATGAACGTATATTACTTGCTTTTGGTGACACTTAACCTTCCTTGCGTAAAGCAAGAGGAGGTAAAAAGATCGTTAGCACCTATCTATCACTTTGATTCTGTCCTTATTTTTTTATTAATAACTTTTCTGACTTGAGTGCACGCCAACGCCATAGCCTGTAGCCCGTAGCAGTTAGGCCAAGTTGTAATCCTACCCTTTATTATTGATTGCGTGCACATAACTTTGTGCCCCGAGCAGATCGCACATTCATCTACTGCGGGCCGGTCCGCCAGAAAAAGGAAGCCCGAAACAACACACTTCAGATGGGCCGGCCTAGGTACCTCAACCGGTTTGCCTACACTACTAGACCTCAGAACCCGCGGCCGTCACGCATCAGCGTCAGACACACGCAGCGGTCCCCACGCAGCGCACCTTCTCTTCCCCGCCGCATCGCCGCCGAACCCGAACAGCAGCATCGGATCGATGGAGGGCTGGGACAAGGGGACCAAGAGCACGGTGGGCGAGATCCCGCTGCTGTCGACGCGCGCGGGCCCGCGGGACGGCGAGGCGTGGCGGCAGCGGCTCAAGGAGGAGTACCGCGCGCTCATCGCCTACACGTCGGTGAACAAGGCCAAGGACAACGACTGGTTCCGCATCGCCGCCGCCAACCCGGAGGGCACCCGCTGGGAGGGTACCTGCTGGTACGTCCACAACCTCCGCCGCTATGAGTTCCCGCTCCAGTTCGACATCCCCGTCGCCTACCCCCAGGTCGCCCCCGAGATCGAGCTCCCCACCCTCGACGGCAAGACCCACAAGGTACCTAATTTACTAAATGATTACTGCGATACTGTCTGTATGCTTGCTTAATTTGCTGGAATTGGCCGAGGGTTCTTGACTTGCGCTGTGATGGCTGGTTGGCAGATGTACCGGGGTGGGAAGATCTGCCTCACCGTGCACTTCAAGCCGCTGTGGGCCAAGAACTGCCCGAGGTTCGGTATCGCGCACGCGCTTTGCCTCGGCCTCGCGCCGTGGCTCGCGGCGGAGGTCCCGATTCTGGTCGACTCGGGCATGGTGAAGCACAAGGATGACGAGGCGGCTCCGACTGAGGCATCTGCCTCTGCTGCTCCTCCTTCCTAGTTGCAACTTGCAACAGCTAAGGGGGATATCGGAAATCAACTCGGTGGTAATTGGTGAACCGCCAAATAAAGAGAAATACTTGCGAATCTAAACATCATATGAAACATGTCCCATACCTGCTGATTGCTGACTGTGTGTACTAGTTTCCCATCCAACTTTCTGAATTGTGCTGCAGGTTTTTATGGTACACCTGACTGATACCATCTGAGGAAACAGAATTGCTTAATAAAACTAGTGCAGATATTCTGATTGGTCGGTTATCGAATGTGTTAATCAATTACAAGTTTTTATTCATTTTGGCATAGAAAATTCTGTTTTTGGTTTGTCACAGTGCTTGGTTGCCTTTGAAATTTGCACTGTATCATGCTGAAATTTTATACAAGAACTGTTCTCAAGACCAATTCTGGTTCATGCAAGTGACTTTGGATGTTTGAGGCTGTTCAAGTCATATGGATATGACTGAGTTGGAATAGTGAAGCACAAGGAGGCCAAGTGGCCCCAATCATATCTGGCCCTGCTGATGTTTCATAGTTACAACGGGATTTGGTTGTTGCCCAGTCAATTAACGGATTAAAAATCCACCTCAGATCATCGGGTGTGGTTTTGGCTGTGGTCTAACAAGAGCAATACTCTAATGTCTAAAGTTTTCCATATCTGCTGGTTACATGAATATGATTTGGTATGCGTTGATGTACTATTTTTGTGCCCAACCTTTTGCATTGCAAAACTAAGTTATTATATGCATGGATAATACCTGAAGTGTAGTTGAGGTGGTTTGTTGATTTAAGAAGATTTTGGGCAATCTCGTTGTACTATTGTATTCTTTTAAAGTTTGAGCGCAGGTGTCTCTTAATTTAAGAAGGTTTTGTGCAGCCTCCTTTTATTAATGCACACTTTTTTAGTTTGAGTGTAGCTGTCTGTGGTGAATATTTCTACGAGTGCTATTTTGAACCTAGCTCTAGCTTATGGCATTATTTGCTCTACTTTCTCGTAAGTTCTAAATTGCTTTGTCTTTTTAGAATATTAATTAATTGACCTGACGGTGCTTCGATGCATCACCTTGTTCAGGGAATAGACTTGGGTGTTCAGGGCAGTTGCTATCAAATCATAGATATCTGTGCTTAGTGATTTTTTTTCCCGAAGAATCATACAGTTCATTTAGCGATACAGTTTTCCTATGGCAAACATGGATATTTTGTAGTAGGCCAAATGTTCTGCATGGTCTGAGTTCGCTGGTTATAAATCATCAAATAAAGGAACAATGGGCAAAAGCTTGTTTTGCTTCACGCATACATGTTGATGGCTCATGCCCTAAATTGCTAGCTTATTGGACAAGCGTTCCATGATAACTCTAGATATGGATATACAGTGTACTAGCAGGAACCCCGCGCAGTTGCGCGGGCTAGTAGCATGAGCAGGCACCGGTAAGGCGGTAACGTAGAAAACTGTTGTAAATTTCGCAAACAATGCAAATCACGCAGTGGAGAATAAACACTCAGTAACAAACGGGCAACAATAATCAGGGCATACATATATGCTCTGTTCGTTTGGCCGATAAGCCATGGTTGAGAGGACCACCGGCTGATTTGTTGTGAGAAAAAAATACTATTCGTTGGCTGAAAAAATATGGTTTATAAGCCAAGCGAACATGACGATATATTTTGGGAAGAAAACAGTAAACAGGCAGGCAATAATAGGAGGTCAAAGAATCTATGAATTATAACTTAAACTTTTTTTCATTAACAACTCGTAGGTTCTTGACATTTAGGGCAATCATGTAGGGATAAAAACCTTTAACCCAAAGTCTTCTACAAAGTATTAGACAGAGATGATGGTTTTCGTCATATAAGATAGCACACTATTATTAGTAAATAAAGTAATTAAAAATAAGCATGTAGCTTACTTCAACGTCGCTTCATCCTGAATTGTTATGACGTAATCACACAGTAACTTAGTCATCTCTTCCTTGTTCATTGGCATGTCTTTTATGACCTCAAATGCCCAAAACTCATCAGGGTCTTGGTTGGCATGGACTTGTGAGGAGTTATTCTGGTGTTGAGGGGTGCCTGTTTGAACCACTAAGCATTCAGTCTCCTCAGAATGTTTTCTCTTTTTCGTGGACGCTTGATCAACCATCTTTGGACTCTCTATTATGGCACAGTCGTTTGGGCTTCTAATATTTTTATCCCTATCAAGATATAGAGCACCCTTTCATTTATTTAACTCTGGCGATATCAAGATCACCGTAAGCTTCAATCTAAATTCTTTCATATCATCCTGCACGATAGGATGAACTTAGTTAATTATTAAGTAAGAACCCACATCTAGTTCACACTCATGACTTGTGGTAAGACGCAAAGTTTACCTGATTGAACTCGTCTGACAAATCGTTCCTGGTCCAATACTCCATAAAAGTTATTAAGAATAAACCGCATAAAAAACTACATACAATATTAATAGAGGTTCAGACACACATTAGATAAAAAAGACAAAGACACAAAATTCAACTTATATGACGCCATAATTTGCTACGGAAAATCTCCCTAACCGGCCAGGTATCAACCTCAACATCTGGCCACTTGTGCTCTTTCGGGCCTGTCTCCTCCAATATGAAATCTATCTGTTTCCGCAATCCACCTCGCTATTTGTTCATAGAAGAATGAATCGATCAGCATTTCTAAAATATAAAATGTGTACAAATAGCTATGCTAGAAAATACCGACAATTTTATTGAGGTCAGCACATCTGAACATCTCGCCCAAAGAGTCTAGCACCTGGACCTCACGTTTGTCAGCGTTTATAACAGCAAGGTACCAATGTGTATGTGTAACATTTATTGGAAGGAACACCTATCAAAACAAATAATAAACATTTTGTCAGACATCAAAATTGATAATGAAAGACCAATAGATCGTTTAAAAAAATTGCTACCATGTCATGGTTCAAGTAAGCTAGCACCCTTTGAACTAAACCAGGACGCTGTGAAGTGCCACAGTTAGGGTAATTAGCTTCAATGGTCTTATCCTTTTCTCCATCCCGCTCCATGATTGCAGCTAAGCACGCAGTTTCAAGATAGATTGTACGTCCTGACCTCTTTTTCAAACCCTCCTGGGCCTTCAACAGGTCAATATAAGCATCTATGACCTGCATATAATTCGCCATTAGTGAGAAAGGACATTGAAGTTGTCAATGTTTGATTGAGTATTATGACTTGCATCTGTTACCTAGTCTGACAAGTATTCATATAGCTAAAAAAGACATTCCATGTGGTTTCTCGACACCGGAACATCATCTATGAGCACAAGCTCCTCCTTCCTAGGTGAAGATGGATTTTTTTGACTGATTCAATTATGGCTCTATCAGTTTCGGTACAAACATAATATGAAAAAGAGGATTAAAGTATACAACAGTAGTTAGGAGTTTTTCTAGTTTAATCCATCAAAGAGAAAATATCAATACCTTCTAGGGCAACCGGTGATGACATAGATTTTTTGGGTTTATTTTGTACGATTTTGATTTCCAGAAGTCCTTTTTCTCCCGTCGGATCTACCCGAGAAGTTGATAGGGCTTTTTCATCATGGGCCGTGCTAAAGCTCGGTCATCTGGTAGAGCTCCGTGGGTAACTTTTGTACTCATGCTTTCTTGCAACCATCCAGAATCATCCATAGGCTCACTAAAATTTTCTGTTTGTACAATATCTTCTAAGGGGTCTTCGTTTTCCTTCAAAACCTTTACATCTGAACTATCCATCGAGACCTAAAAGACGAACATATTAATTTTTTGAAATAATTAAGGTATATCAAACATGGATGCCATTAATTCAGAATTGAAATGATATATAGGTATATAAAATTGTATTGTCTTTGTTCTACTTTATTTTCTAAAAAAGTATCATATACTCTCTGTCGAGTTCATAAACCCGGGGTCCCTAATGGGCCCGCTTCCCAGCAAAAGCTCAGGCCAGCAGACGGCATTACAAATGACGCGTAACTCCTGGGACGGCCCAAATACCTAACGACAGGCCAGAAGAGCGATCCAGTCTCCGACCCGCTTTTCCGACCAAAAGGCCTGGCCAAGGAGGGGATGACGCTCGCTTCCGACTCCGACCCGCTTCTCTGACCAGAAGGCCTGGCCAAGGAGGGGACGATGCTCGCTTCCGACTCTTACCCGCTTCTCCGACCGAAAGGCCTGGCCAAGGAGGGGACAACGCTCGCTTCTGACTCCGACCCACTTCTCCGATTGAGAATTCACCGAACCTCTGCTTATGGCTCTTTTCTGACCGGCGCGGTCGGAGCCAACTGGGAACGACCGGCCGGGGACACCCGCTCGGTGAGGACCCAAGAAATCAGGCAGAGCAGATAAGGTAAGGCGCTCAAGTCAACCGCAATACAGATGACCGTACCCCACACACTGTGCAGGACAGCACTGTTAGGTCATGTCAGAAGGGTACTTTATAACCTTCTAGACATGTCAGAACACGAATAGTGTTGTGGGCGCCAACATTTGTCCTATAGTATAGTAGGCGCCGACATTTGCCATACTAGAAGAACAACATATGCCAGAACACGATTGGCACGTTTTCATGTCGACATACGGCGTGGGCAACAAGACCACTCTCTCTCTCTCACTTGTAAGGCCATCCCCTTCACCTATAAAAGGGGATGCGCTCTCTCCCGAAAAGGACGGATCATTCCGACTCTCTCTGCTAGCTTTAGACATTTTAAGCACTCGAACAGCTCCATGGCTCTAGAACTCTAAAGCTACACAGAGCATACGTTCCAATAATCAGCGCACGTAGGAGCTCCCGTCACTCTTGGCCCTTCGGTCCAGAGTCCGACCGGACCTCTAACACCCCCATCTTATTCCCACTCGTTTGTAACCCCACAGCAAACTTCGAGCACCTGGGCTCAGGAATAAAGTCACCGACCGACTGAAACTGGACGTAGGGCACGTTGCCTAAACCAGTATGAACCCTGTGTCATTGAGTGCTAGGCCACATC